ATGCTACATCCCACAAATTTTGTTAAGTTGTATTTTCATTTAGTTCAATGTATTCGTAAATTTGTCTTGAAACTTCCTCAACCCATGTGTTATTTAGAAGTGTGTTGTTTAATCTCTGAGTATTTTGGACTTCTCCAGCTACCAGTCTGTTATTGATTTCTAGTTTAATTCCTTTGTGGTCAGAGAGCATAGTTTGTATGCTTTCTATTCTTTTAAATTTGTTAAGGTTTTTCTTTTCTTTTCTTTTCTTTTTTTTTTTTTTTTTTTTTTTTTTTCTTGCGTTATGCGGGCCTCTCACTGTTGTGGCCTCTCCCATTTGCGGAGCACAGGCTCCGGACGCGCAGGCCCAGCGGCCATGGCCCACGGGCCCAGCCGCTCCGCGGCATGCGGGATCCTCCCGAAACGGGGCACGAACCCGCGCCTCCTGCATCGGCAGGCGGACCCCCAAGCACTGCGCCACCAGGGAAGCCCTCTTTTCTTTTTTAATGGTCCAGAATGTGGTCTGTTTTGGTCAATGTTCTGTGTAAGCTTGAGAATAGGTATTCTGCTGCAGATGAATGAAGTATTCTGTAGATGTCAGTTATATCCAGCTGACTGACGGTCTTCAGTTCAATTATGATCCTGCCTGTTGGACCTGTCAATTACTGATAGAGGGGTGCTCAAGTCTCTATAATAGTGGACTCTTCTATTTCTCTCTGCAGTTCTATCAGTTTTTGCCTCACACATTTTGGAACAGTGTTAGGTGCATACACATTAAGGATTGTTACGTCTTTTTGGGTACTTGACCCCTTTATTATTATGTAATGCTCCCTCTACATCCTTAATTTTCCTTGCTCTAAAGTTTACTTTATCTGAAATTAATGTAGCTACTCGAGCTTTCTTTTGATTAGTGTTAGCACAGTGTATTGCTCCATCCCTTTAATCTGTATTTTTATATTTAAAGTGGGTTTTTCTGTAGATAACATATAGTTGGGTCTCAGTTTTTAATCCACTCTGATAGTCTTTTTTAAAAAAATTAATTTTTGGCTGTGTTGGGTCTTCGTTGCTGCGCGCGGGCTTTCTCTCGTTGCGGTGAGTGGGGGCTCCTCTTTAATTGCAGTGCACGGGCTTCCCATTGTGGTGGCTTCTCTTGTTGCGGAGCATGGGCTCTAGGCGCGTGGGCCTCAGTAGTTGTGGCTCACGGGCTCTAGAGCGCAGGCTCAGTAGTTGTGGCGCATGAGCTTAGTTGCTCCGCGGCACGTGGGACCTTCCTGGAGCAGGGCTCAAACCCATGTCCCCTGCATTGGCAGGCGGATTCTTAACCACTGAGCCATCAGGGAAGCCCAGTCTCTGTCTTTTAATCGGTATATTTAGACCATTGATGTTTAAAGTGATCACTGATATAACTGGATTAATATCTACCATATTTGTTACTGTCTTCAATCTGTTGCTCTTGCTCTGCTTTTTTGTCTTCCACTCTTATTCTGCCTTCTATGGTTTTAAGCACTTTATGATTCTATTTTTTTTCTCCTCTGTTAGCATAGCAATTATACTTTTTTTGCTTCTTTAAATGGTTGCCCTTGAGTTTGCAGTATACATTTACAACTAATCCAAATGCTTTTTCAAATAACTACTTTACAGGCAGTGTGGGTACTTTATAATATAGAGTATTCCCAGTTTCCTACCTCCCACCCCCTATAATGTTGCTTCACTCACTTCACTTATCCATAAACTTGCACCCTGTACAAGTTGCTGTTATTAAACCATCTGTTATCTGTCAATTAAGATTTTGAAAAATTTGATTTTACCTCCATTTATTCCTTCTCTAATGCTCTTTTTAAAAAGTAGGTCTGAGTTTCTGATGTATATTATTTTCTGTCTTTCTGGAGAATTTCTTAACATTTCTTGCAAATCAGGTCTAGTGGGGACAAATTCCCTCCATTTTTGTTTTGTCTGAGAAAGCCTTCTCTTTCACTTTTGAAGGATAATTTTGCTGGATACAGAATTCTAGGCTGGTCTTTTTTTTCTTTCAATACTTGAAATATTTCACTTTCCTTTCTTCTTGCATGGTTCCTAACCAGAAGACTGACGTAATTCTGATCCTTGCTCCTCTATAGCTAAGGGTTTTCCCCCCTCTGGCTTTTTTTTCAAGATTTTTCTGTTTGTCTTCGATTTTCTGCAGTTTGAATGATATGCCTACATGCAGATTTTTTGGCAGTTATCCTGCTTGCTGTCTATACTGCCTCAATTTAAGAATTCAAGTAAATGTAAATAAAAGTTGTTTCCCTGTCATACTATTCACATTTTAGGTGCTCAGTAGGCACATGTGGCTAGTGGCTGCCAAACTGGAGAGCAAAGGTCTAGACAGAGGAGGGAAGGGGTCTAATGTGAGGTCTCTTGGCAGTGAGCACCCCACAGAGGGAAGCATCTCCTAGGACTCTACCACCATCAGTACCTGAGACCCCTGGCGCTCCTATCTACCTCCCTGCCTCTGCTCATAACACAGCTCTTTCCTAGCGTGGCCCTCTTCTCTGTATTTAACTGCCCTCCCCACCACCCCCCAACTTACTATCTACTCACAACACTTTCTTCAGAAGGAAAGAGAAACACATTTCACTTTAATTCAAGAATCATGGGCCTATCACCATGCAGAGTCCTTCACATCATCAGTGCCTAGGACTGAACCTCACTCTTAAGCTTTGCAAACTCAACTTCACATTCAGTTACATAAACTATGTTAATGGAACCAAACATGCTAGTGTTGCCAGCATTTTGTCAAGAATGAAAATTAAAAACAAAGACAACTATCTATTACTGGCAATTTCATAAATAAACGGATGTTCTAATAGTGCCCTCTTCCAGCTCCCCCCGGCCCCCAAAGATGGAAACTAAATGAAGCTTTGCACTATTTTTCTCATTTGGGCCTGGAAGATGAAAACTTTGTGCCTAGCCTTCGGCAAAATAAACACATCTAGGAACTGTTGCCCTACCCACGTCCAGACCTAGTATTTGTTGATCTCTTTTCTTCTCCAATTAATTTTATTTTTATCACCTTTTCCCCCACCTATTTGTCTCTTACTAGTTGTGTGATCTTAGGCAAATTATTTGGTTTCTCTGGCCTTTGTTTCCTGTGTTGTCCAGGAAAGCACCAGAAATAGTCAAATCTGTTATGATGAACAAAATGGATGAGGTCTGTCTTAAGAACATGAGTACTGGGCTTCCCTGGTGGCGCAGTAGTTGAGAGTCCGCCTGCCGATGCAGGGGACACGGGTTCGTGCCCCGGTCCGGGAAGACCCCACATGCCGCGGAGTGGCTGGGCCCGTGAGCCATGGCCGCTGAGCCTGCGCGTCCGGAGCCTGCGCTCCGCAACGGGAGAGGCCACAACAGTGAGAGGCCCGCAAACCGCAAAAAAAAAGAACATGAGTACTGAGATTTAGTAAGGGGCCTTTAAATCTAAGGATTGGAGGAGCTGGATAAATCCAGATAAATCTAAGGTCCTCTGGCATGCTACATAGCTATCCTTAGGTTCTTTCCCATTGTGTGAGGCACAGCTGATGCTTAGCAATATAACAGGTCACTCTGGCACCAAGAAACCTCTTAAGTAGGCACATATCCAGCATAGTGGACCTTGGGGTCAAGAATGTTGAAACTGACTTCAAAAGTTTACCTGCTTTTCCAAGTTACATGATTTCACTTTTTTAAACATAAAAAGATAATTAGCTTTATTGTTGATGGGAAAATAATATAAGGACAGACAGGCTTAAGTTATCTGTGCATACAGAATTAAAGAATAAGGAATATTACCTTGTTGTAGGTACTCACTCATTTTTATACTCTGCTCCAGGACTGTTAAGTCTTTAAGAAATCCCCTTTAAAATTGTGGTTGCAAATTGGAGGCTCATGCACTGAATTCAGCCTATATAAATGTTGTGTGGCCTGTACAGTTAAAAAAACTCTTTTAAAGTAACATTTAAAAACTGTACTTAAAAAAATCTGATTTCTAGCTTCTCTTTAAAAGTTAGGAAAGTCGCGGGGGGTGGGGTGACGGTGGGACGAATTGGGAGATTGGGATGGACATATATACGCAAATATGTATAAAACGGATAACTAATAAGAACCTGCTGTACAAAAAAATAAATAAAATTCAAAAAAGAAAGTCGTAAGATATGGTGGCCCTAGGCACAAGGCAGCAAGTGGCTCTGACACTTGTTTCCTTTAAAAGAGTGAAGTGTTCAATTCACTTACCCTGCCATCCACAGAATGCTTGTGTACTCGAACCTACGGGGCATTTAAGTGAGTGCTTGCTGGTTTGGAAGAAGCTAGAATTGGCTAGGACGGCCTGAAACGGTAACTTTTGAACTGAGACCTGCAGGATCTAAAAATAGGATGATCACAAGCTCTGTGCCTCAGTCTCCTTATCTGTAAATTAGGGCTATCAACGCGCAGTTGTAGGAAGGACTGGCGATGGAGTAACGCAACGGGTTGGCTCGAACTCGGCGCCAGAGCGCACGACTACAATCCACGCTAATCCTGGGAGGCCCCCGGACCCAATACCGACCGGGGCCCCCGACGCTGCGACGCACCGCGCCGGGCCTCGCTCTCCTCTCCTCCCCGCCGCGGACCCCAGCGCTCCGCAGAGGTCGGCCCCGGGGCGCCGAGAGGCGTGGTCGGCCTGCGTGGACTGGCGGCAGCCATGGCCTCGGTGGTGGAGTACAAGGGACTCAAGGCCGGCTACTACTGCGGCTACTGCGACTCCGAGGAGGGCAAGGCGTCCTGCGGTGAGTGGTCCGGTCGATGGAGCGGGTGCGGACGCCTTACGTCCAAACCCCCGCACCGCCCGCCGCGTCCGGGCCCTCGCGAGGGAACACCCAGGCCCTGCTCCCCAACTCCCGCTTTCCTTTCCCACTCGTTTTTCCCAGACTGTTGTCCTTCACGTTTTGTCTCTTGATCTCATCCTCACCGAAGATGGCGGTCCCTCTCGGAGAAGGAGCGGAAATAGCGGAAGGCTGCCCTAGGTTAAGATGGCGCGGGCGGCGTCAGCGCCGAGGGGCTCGGGCGAGGGCCGGGCTGTGGGCGCCCGGGCGGCGCGGTGCATTGTGGGGTGGAGGCGGCTTTGGGCTGGGCCGCGTAGCGTTTGGAGGGTCGGGGCCATGGCTTCCTGGGCCGCGCTTTCGCCCAGCATCGTGGAATATTTCGAGGGCGAGGATTTCTACCGCTGCGGGTATTGCAAGAACGAGTCGGGCAGTCGCTCCAATGGTAAGCGGGCCGGGCTGGCGGGCGGGGAAGGGCGCCGCGGCCTCGGGGCTCGGCGGTGGGCCGGTGTGTTCGGGGGTCGCGGCGCCCCGGGCCGACTGGCTGGAGGGACGCGCCCAGCCCCTGCCCAGCTGCTGTCTCGTGGAGCGAGTGCGGAACGCGGCTGCCCCTGAGTGCAGTGGCTTTCGGAATTAAAAACGGACCTCACCTTTGATTGAGCAGGGAAGATGCTCATTCTTCGCACAGGTGCTCGGACGTGCGAAATAATTAATGTCTCGCAGTAGCCAAGTGTGGAAACAGGTGTCCATCATCAGTAGGAGACGGTTAAGTATCTGGTGGCACGCCTGCTGGGGAGCGCTGTGGCGCGGTCGGTTACGGGGGCTGACCTGTAAGTGCTGATGCTGCTGTGAGGGTGTCTCCGAGGGTCAGGGCAAAACACGGGGTGCAGGACAGTGAGTGTCGGGTGGTGCTATTGGTGTAGAAAACGGTGTGTGTGGAAAACACACGTGCGCGGGCATCCGTGGATAAAATGTCTCTGGAAGAATATAGAGGAAACTAGTGACTAGTCGCTGCTGGCGAGGGGCCTTGTTGGTACCGAGGTGCCTGAAAATTTTACCAGGTGCTTGGGTGCCGTGTCATTTCTCCACCCACGTCGATGACGACGACAAAGCCAGCCTACAGTACCCTTCCCCCCCATGATTCAGTTTTCTTTCGGAAGATTTCTTGTTTGTAAACAGAACATCATGTTTATTTCCCGCTGTGTCGTGCTTTGGCAAAAGTAGACACTTATTTTAAAGAATAATCTAGCATTGTGGAAAATGGGATGTCTATGAAGATGTAAATTGGGGTGGTTTCCGTGTTTAAAAAAATGTATGTCCTACCGTAGGGGAATGATTTGGGCGATTATGGTGTGTCCGTTTACTCGTTAATTAAAAGTGTTTATTAGGTGCATCTTGTGGGTGAGCGGGGGTAGAGTGCAGTATAACGCAGTCATTAGTGACGGTGATGAAGATGAGTTAACGTGAAAAAACAGAGTCTTGGGTTAAACGGAGAACATAAGCAGGATGTAGATAACATATGTGACATGATTACAGCTCTGGGAGGAAAAGAACCCAAATGGTGACAGTGGGTTGCCTTAGGGTATTAGAGATTTTTCCCTTCTCTCTTTCAGAATTTTAGTATTGTGATTATAATATGTATGTAACAAATACTTTATATTAAACATATCTAAAATTAATATTAGGTCCTTCATTATTTTTCTAGTAATTTTAGTAAGAGAAAATCGATTAATATAGATGTTCTCTAAGTTCTGTGGAAAAAACCTACTTTCAACCTTTTCACTTAGATAACTGTAAATTTCTATCATCTCGATTTTAATAATAATCTTTACTATAGGGCACCCCACCTATTGGGTAGGTAGGTTTTACTATTCCTATTTTACAGATGAGGAAATTGAAGCTCATGGAGTAACTGGGTGTTAATGGGCCCACCAGGCTTCTGGACATTTCTGTTGTACACATGCCTGTGCTTTTCTCATTACTCCCTGCTCTATCAAGCCTATCTTTATCTTTACCTACTGCTGATGCAGTTTACTGTTTACAAGAATAAAGTTCACCTTTCTTTACCATTAATTCAGTGTTTTCTCATAGTCTTCATTGTTTTCATGGTTGCATAATTATTTCATCATATTGATAACATAATGGTCCCTGTAATCAATTTTCTGTTCCTGGGCATTTGGATTACTTTCAGTTTTTATACTTAAAAGTAATATTGCTGTATGTATACTTTTGTTCAGTGTGTAAGACTATGGTGTAAACAAATAAAAATCAGGAGAATTTATGTGCACAAGAAAACATTTGCTTTCTAATTCTTCTAAAGAGACCAGGTTATTAAATTATTGGGGATATTATTATGACTTAAAGGTGTGATGTAATTTGATTGCAGTGAGGACCTAAATTTATGATGTCATAGAGACTGTTGACTAATCCTGAATTGCATGTGATCACTTTGTGTGCTTGATTTTTAAACTTAAGAGAAATACATCATGTATTTCGTTTGTGTTGTGTGTTGTGTCAAACTAACAAGTATGAAGTATGTGCAGACTTTCGTTTCTCCAATATGAGCTCGATTTTTTTTTTTTTTTGCTTCAGTTTTCATATTTTAAAGATAATGCTTTGGATTTAAAAAAGTAAAAAGTTCCACCTGCTGTAATTAACATGGCACTTATTTTTCAGGCATGTGGGCACATTCCATGACTGTACAGGATTATCAGGATCTCATCGACCGAGGATGGCGAAGGTAAAGGTCCTTAATACAAAGATACTTCTTTTTTTAAAAAAAAAATTATTTATTTATTTATTCATTCGTTCGTTCATTCATTCATTCATGGCCGTGTTGGGTCTTCACTGCCGCACGCAGGCTTTCTCTGGTTGCGGTGAGCGGGGTCTAGTCTTCGTTGCAGTGCGCGGGCTTCTCCTTGCCGTGGCTTCTCTTGTCGCGGAGCATGGGCTCTAGGTGCGCGGGCTTCAGTAGTTGTGGCGCACGTGCTTAGTTGCTCTGCGGCACGTGGGATCTTCCCAGACTGGGGCTCGAACCCGTGTCCCCTTCCTTGGCAGGTGGATTCTTAACCACTGTGCCACCAGGGAAGTCCCAAAGGTACTTCTGAAATTATTCAGGTTCTTCTTATAATTGAAAAATATTATTTGCCTTTAAAATGTTTTCTTGTTGTTGGAAAGAGGTTTAAGAAAATTTTTATTATATTTTGTGTGTAGAAATTTTTTTCTCCTTTTAAGGGTGTTTATTAGGAAAATTTCACAAATGTAGAGAGAATGTTATAATGAACCTCACATACCTATCACCAAGCTTCAACAGTTGTTAACATTTTGCCAATCTTGTTTCATCAGTTTTCCTTGCTCCTTTCAATGGACTGAATGTCGTGCACCGTCCCCAAAGTTCATATGTTAAATCCTAACTCCCAGTTTATGGTATTTGGAGGTAGGGCCTTTGGGAGCTGATTAGGTCATGACGATGGATGGGATTATGAATGGGATTCTAGTGCCCTTATAAAAGAGACCACAGAGAGCTCCCTTGCCCCTTATGCTGTGAGGACACAGAAAAGATGAACAAGGAAGCTTGTCTTCATCCTACATTAAATCTGCTGGCACCTTGATCTTGGACTTCCCACCCTCCAAAACTATGAGGAATAAATTTCTGTTGTTTATAAGCCACTCAGTCTATGGCATTTTTTTTTTTAAGTCTTTATTGAATTTGTTACAGTATTGCTCATGTTTAGTGTTTCGTTGTTTTGGCCCTAAGGCATGTGGGATCTTAGCTCCCTGACCAGGGATCGAACCTACACCCCCTGCATTGGAAAGCGAAGTCTTAACCACTGGACCACCAGGGAAGCCCCCTCTATGGCATTTTGTTATAGCAGCTCCAGCAGAATAAGATACTCCCCCATTCCCCTTCTCCCACAAGATTATTTAAACCAAATTGCAGATGTCATGTTATTAAACCTGTATTAAGTATGTGTTTCTAAGCAGGATTTTCTTTCTTAACATCTCCACAATGTCATTACCATACTTTCCAAATTTAATAATAATTATTTGATGTCTCCAGTTACCTAGTTTTGATTAGATTTTCTGCTCGTCTCAAAAAATTCTTTTTTATAGTTGGTTTATTTGAATCAGGATTCCCTTAAGGTCCACACATTGCCTTTGATAGCTGAGTTTTCTTGGCAGCTATTTTTATGTAGATGATTTTAGAATAACTATTAGGTAAGGTTCCTTACGTAAGTATGAGCAGAATGAAGTGCCCTGTGCCAGTACTCCCCAGAAGTCATGGGATTGAGCACAGTAAATGAAACTTCACAGCTTTCCTCGAATGTAATAATGGGGCCCAGAATGAAGACAGATATATAGACCAGATGTTGAAAGACTTCGTGTGCCATGATAAGGAGATTTTGTGGGGTTTTGTAACGGTACAGGGGATCTATGGAAGGCTTTTATGTCTGAGAGAAAAGGGATGGAATTTGTGATTTGGAAGTGATCATTCAGATAGCAGAGAGGGGTCTGAGCGGGTGATTCTGAAGGCAGGAACATTAGTTCCAGAGATGATTGCGGTGTCCACATGTGAGATGGTGAGGACCGCTGTCATGGTCAGTAGCAGTGACTGTATATCAGGAGATGGATCGGATGGATCATAAGACACATTTTTGAGACATTTTGGAAGTAGATCGCTTGCTGGCAGGATATGGAGGTGCATTAGAGGCAAGAGTCTAGGAGGACTCCCAGGTTTTCGGCTCGGGAACTGAATTCATATGTGCTTGCTAGGGCTGCCGCGACCAAATACCACAGATTGGGCAGCTTGAGCAAGAGAAATTTATTTCCTCACAGTTCTGGAGGCCGGAAGTCCAAAATCCAGGTCTCTACAGCTTTGCTTTTTCCTGAGGCCTCTCTCCTTGGTTTGCACCTGGCTGCCTTCTTGTGTCCTCACATGGTCCTTTCTCTTTGTGTGTGCATCCCTAGTGTTTTATTGTTCCTTTTTGTGTACAATTTCCTTTTCTGATAAGGACACCAGTCAGTTTGGATTAGGGCACATTTAAATCTGGACAAAATTCAGCTCGTAAATGTATGACTCTGCATTAACTGAGATCCAGAAGGCGTGGAAAGGATTAGATTGGTTTGGGGGTTCATCGTGCTGGTGCCCATGGAACCCCCAAGTGTGGCTGTCATAGGCAACAGCACACATCAGTCCCACAGCATCCTGGGCAGTTTTCTCTGACTGCCCTTTTGCTGTTGAGGGTGGGTGGTAGATCGAGGCATGGAAGGGACTGCAGATGCAGATGAGAGGGTAATTGAGGTGATTAACCGTGGAGTACATATGTAAACGTTCAGAAAAGAAAAACCTGGACTCTGGTCCTTGGTATACCCACGTTGCAAGATCATTTAGCTTATGAAAAGTAACTAAACCTAAATGTTTTTACACTGTTGATTAGATTTTTACCCTAATTAATTTTGTACTCCTGTACTAATCTACTTTGCTACATGTGAGAAATGTGTACAAACTTAACAAAACTATTTTATAATTTTAGAAGTGGGAAATATGTGTACAAACCTGTCATGAATCAAACATGTTGTCCTCAGTACACAATAAGGTAAGAATTTTGATTAATGTATTCTATTAATATGAAGATTGTGTATAATTTTTTAGTAGAATCTTGCTTTTTAAAGTGTCTCTGTCTAGGTAGACATTCTTAAAGAAAAGCAAACAAGTTTTTTTCTACATACTCATACTATATTCATGTGCCGATCAATAGCTTTTAATAATACTGTTTGGTTTAGATATAAATATAGTATAAAAAATACACTATTTAGCAATCTAGTCAATAATACATGAAATATTGGGAGAATATTGGCAAATACTTAAATTAGTTTTAGATATCAAATTTTTATCAGTTTAGCTTATGGCTCTGCAGTTCTCTGCTGTGTTACTTGACAACAGTTGTTTCATTCAGGCAATGCTACAGGATCCTATATAAAGGGGAGGAGGGCTGACACTTAATCTGCGTCTGTTCAGAGTCTAGTTTTCTTCACTGGAAAACTCGAACTAAAAGTCTTTTCCTACAGAGTGTTTGCTTGATTTTTCTTCATATTTTGTGTTTCCCCTGTGCCCCCCTTACTCTGCCCTAACATGGGAGGATTTTTCCCTTCTTTGATTATGAAGGTTCTCCTCTTCCCCTTCTGGTAGAAAATAGGGAAAAGGTATGTTACCATTGTGAGGCATATGTCTGCAGTTTCAATGTGTATGTATACTCTAGATAAAAACACAAACACAGTTGTGTCCATCATGCTTGGCACGTCCCCACAGCTGTCTCCCTTAATTACTCTTTTTTTTTTTTTCCTTAATTACTCTTGTTTTGGGGTTGTAGACTGTTTTGAGAATTTGACGGTTGCAGATCCTCTCTGCAGCAAAACAAAACAAGACAGGGAGCTGTATAGACAAAAATAATGTAACATCTAACATATTAGTTTTAGGGTGATCACTGACTTTGAATAATTCACTGCTTCCTGGTTAAGAATCCTTTCTCTTACATAATTGGTCAAAGGACTGGTGCAATAAGGAGAAAAGATGGATGTCTGGTTTGCTGACAGCATCTCATTTAGTATAAAATGACAGAGTAGCTTTTTCAGCTTTAGTGTTTATGAAGTGGTGACATCTTCAAAGACAGAAGTCATTTTCCTTCCGGTAACAATTTATTACTGGATTATGGCTAGGATTTTGTTGAAATAAGTCTGAAATTGATTGGCCTGAACCCTGAGAATCTCTATTCAGAAAAGGCCAATTTCAGTGGGTTAAAGAAAAAGATAAAAGCATTTATAATTTACTGGGTGCCTGTCTCATACAGAGCACTATTCCAGGTATGTTGCCTTTATGAAAAGGGATTCAATTAACATTGCAAGAGAAAGTAATTATAAAATGTGACTTATTTAATAATTTTACATGGAATCAAACATTTTCTGAATTGTTACGCTTTTTTTTAAAACAATATACACAAGAGTGGAAACTTCTTCTTTTTTTTTTTTTTTTACATATTTATTTATTTATTTGGCTGTGCCGGGTCTTAATTGCGGCATGCGGGATCTTCGTTGCTGAGTACTGGTGGGATCTTTAGTTGCGGCATATGGGATCTAGTTTCCTGACCAGGGATCGAACCCAGGCTCCCTGTATTGGGAGCACAGAATCTTAACCACTGGACCACCAGGGAAGTCCCTAATCGTTATTCTTTATACAACTTTATTTTATATCTTGATCTTTTGGAGTCATTTTGCATATTCTTTGGGTTATTTTACTTTGTTTACTGCAGTAGTTGCATTGAGGCCTTATGTAAAGGCAAGGTGGTCTAGCCTACAACTTAGCTTCTTGTTAGGCAGCTGCTAGGACCTGTCCAGTATGTGAGTAAAAATGAGGATGAACTTCCCTGTCTATGAATTTTTTTTTAAAATTTTTATCAATATTGTATATGCTAACAATTTAAAGAATCAAATAGTTCTATAAAGTTTACTCTGCAAAATAGCAGTCCTCTGAAACCCTCCCGCCTGTCTCATTTTCTGTTTTCCCGGTGCAGTCACTTTCAAATCATTTAACTGATTCTTCTGGTTTTTCATCTCTATCTTTAAGTGACATGCTTATATAATTATAATACTTGATTTTTAAAAAATTGGTTTTCTTCATTATCTCTGGGCTTCTCTCTTTAAAAGATAAGGATTTAACTTTATTTCAGCCCTCTTCCCCTGTCACAATCAAGCTCCTATTTGTCCTCGTCCCAAACTTCCCAAATTAGAAATATTATCATTTTGGATAGATGTATGTAGTCACCTCATTATGGCTGTGTAACTAAGCTTCACAGCTCAGCCATATAGTAGTCCATGATTACTTTCTCTTTCCTGCACAAGTTTTTACTTTCCTGGTGTTGATTATTGTCATTTTTGTTTGCGTAGTCTTCTAGGTTCCTATTACCAGTTTATCTAAAAATGCTCCCTAAGAGGGAGCATTTCCTCTTGGTATGTTTAGATGCTTCAGGTACTCTATCATTTTTATCTTCTTGATGAAAATCTCTTGTGGAATCTTCTGACCTGCTGTGATCTGGACAGGGTGCCTCTATGCCTGATGCATCACTGTCATCCTAGGATCTCTTTTTTACTGTCATCTTGAGGATTCTCTTTGGGTCTTGATTTGGATCTTATCTCTTCTATCCTCTTTCTTGTATTTATTATTCCTTCATTTTAGTGAAGCACGTCTTCTAATAGCTTCTTGAGAAAAAGTGCATAAGAGGTAAGTTTTTTGAGACTTTGTCTGAAAATGTTTTCATTGACTACTCAAACTTAACTTACAGTTTAGCTAGGAACAGAAGTGTAGATTGAAAATAATTTTCCTTTAGAATTTTGAAAGCTTTGCTCCATTGTTGTCTTACTGCTGGTGAACAGTCCAGTGACATTCTGACTCGTGTTCCTTTGTCCAAAACATGTTCTTTCTCTTGGGAAGTTTTTTTGTCTTCAAAGTTCTGATGTTTCATAGTACGTTTGGCAGTGAGTCTGTTTTCATTCATTGCATATGGACTTGAGGGACCCTTCTTATCTAGGGGCTCCTCCCATCATGTCCTTCAGTTCAGGGAAATTTTCTTGTATTATTTTATTGATCCTCTCCTTTCCATTAACTTCTTTCTCTTCTCTAATGTCTTTATTCAGACATTGGAACTTTTAGACTGGTACTCTAATTTTTTTTTTTTTCTCTTCAGTTTTCCATGTCTTTTGGAAGATTTCCTCACCTTTATTTTCCAAGTCTTCTGTCTTCTATTTAACTTTTAATTGCTTCTTATTGTACCTTATTATATTTTTACTTCTAAGAGGGATTTTTGTTCTTGGACTCTTAAATTTTTTGAGATTCCCTTCTTCCTGTATACTGTATGTCTCTATCCTCCAAGTTACTTTCTCCAGGTTTTTGGCACCTATCTTTGTTTTAGAGACCCTCCTCAAGTGTCTGGTGATTCTAGCCTTCCAGTGTCCCATTGGAAATTTCATGTACCCTGGTGGGTCTCATTTACTGTGGGCTTTAAGTAGGGTGATCTGGCTAGCCTGTTCTTTGGGAGAATCTCTGAGGTCAGTATTTATAGTTCTGATCACATTCTGGAAAGAAAGTATCATCTACTGATGTACTGGGGCTGGGTTGGAGAAGTGGGTCTTGGAGGTCTCAACATTCAGCATGTGTGCTTCCGTTTATGCTTACTGTTTGCAGTACACTTCCATTCCTTTCAGCTGTGCCTGTATCCCTCAAGTAAGAGGCCTTATTTTTCCCTTTTCTGAAAAGTTTGCAGTTCTCTGCTGGGCTGTGTAGAGAGTCATATGTGCAGAGTGGGGGAGGGTATCAGATATATAAATCGCTTCCAAAACAGACTTTCAAGGGATCTTCCTATTTTCACTCTCATCTCCCAGGGTATCAGGTATGGCCAATCCCTGAGACTTTTAGGGGTAATGTAGAGAAAATTGGATATTTTTTTGGCTTTTCCCACTTTGGGCTTAGGATTCAACTTTTCTTTGGTCTGCTAAGTCAGTTATCGCTTGTACATCTGCTTTCTAGCTTCCAACATTTCTCCCATTATTTTTTTTCCTGGTGGTTTATGTCTTTTTCTTTTTTTTATAATCCTTTAATTGTATTTTTGTGAGATTTGGGGTGGGATTAGAGGCTACATTAAACCCTGTCCTATTATTCAGAACTGATTTTATTTCTTCACAGTTTGCGTTCACTTTTAAAATATTTATTTTGCTTTCCTAGGTGCCGACCTTTACAGTTTCAGCCATCAAAATCTCACAAGAAGGTTTTGAAAAAAATGTTGAAATTTCTGGCTAAAGGGGAAATTTCAAAAGGAAATTGTGAGGGTAAGATGAGATGGAGGTCTAAAAATTGTTTACCTTAAATAGATGTTTCTTTCCAAGGTTCTCACTTTCAGTCATTTCTTAGATAGTTGAGAAGGAGGTCCAATACAGTCAGGTACTACTGTTACTCTGATGATGATGACTGCTCTTAGCACTGATGTTACTGTTACCACTGGCCCCCAAATCAAGGATATGGGGAATATATGCCAGGGAAAGTCTAGCTTGGGAAGAAGAAAGGACCATTTTAAAGATGTGATTTCCTGGAGTTTATTGAAATTTTAGTTTTCACAATTCTTCGAGAACTCTTAATTTTATTTAATCCTAATAATATCCTTATGAAGTAAGTAGAAAGTGATACTGTCTCTGGAGAAATAGATGCTTATCTGCAACTCACACAAGATTGCATAATCACAATGCTGAGTGAAGCTCAGAGTTTCCGTGTTTGAGTAAAGTTTTTAGTAAATTATATTGCCTGAAGTTGTCTCTTATTTTCAGATGAATTCTGAATTGTGAGTGAATTTCCTAAAAGATCATTAGTAACATTTAATTAACTTGGGTTACAGATACTTTGCTTTTCCAGTGTTTTTGCTGCCTTTTTTTTTTTTTTTTAATGTTTTCCCATAGGCACTACCTAATACATGCCCATAAGAATTGGGAATGCCACCCATTCTTAGAACTCTTTCTCACTTCTGCCATAGGAAATGCCTAACTCTGGGAGCCTCCCACCCCTGTTTCAGCTTGTTAATTCATTCCCCAAGTATGTTTTGAATGCCTACGATGCTCTAGTCCCTCTTTTAAGCACTGGAGATACAGTGGCCAGCAAAACAGGTTTGTACTCTGCCCTCATGCACTGTCCTTAACAGAGCAGAATTCAGGACAACTTGGAGCAGACTTGGCAGCAAAGAGGCCAGAAGGCTCTGGGTCATATTGGAAACATCAGAATTTTGGTGTAACTCTGTTTAGTGTTGTCAGTATATAACCTTAAAGGTTAAACAGATTTTCGTGGTTAGTCATTATGCAATTTTTTTCAGCAGCCGGGAATCACGTTCTGAGTTCCAAAAATTAATAGATAAGTTTTGAGGATGCTGTCCATTTGTAAATTGAGGATTGCCTGTTTTTTTATGTAGCTTTTACATTTGGTTTTTTATTTGACTTGTTGTAGGCTTCTGAATTATTTATGTCTGCACTCAATTCATAGGAGTGATGTACTCATTAGGGTAAGAGACTAAACAGCTGTAACAAAGAGACACCAAAATGCAATGACTAAAAAATGATAGAAGTCTGTTTCTTTCCTCACTTAACAGTCCAGTGTGGGTATTGTAGGTCGGCCTGCAGCCCTGCTCCCCACCTCCCCACCCCCCCGCCATTCTGGGATGCTCTTCAACATGTGATTTTCAAGGTCGCTCTGGTTTTTACTAATCGAGCCAGTGGGGAGGGGAAAGGGTGGAAGTTCAGGGTTACAAATTTACTTTAAAACAAGTGAGGCAAAATTGAACATGTCAGTTTGGTTCTGTTCCATTGGCGAGAGCTTGATTACACCTTGTGAAGGGACTGGCACGCTCCGTTGCCAGGGTGCCACAGTCTTAACCTCAGCCCTGACCTTGGAAGATGGGAGAATGGATCTGGTGGACACGCAGTCGTCTCTGCCACATTGGATAAAAGGGGGCTTTTTTTTCCTGTGTGTATTTTAATTGTGTCAAATGGCCTGGCTGATGGACTTTGATCTCTTTTGACTTATAGATGGGCCCATGGAGCCCACCATGGAGGATGCCGTTGCCAGTGACTTTGCATTAATAAATAAATTGGATATACAGTGTGACCTTAAAACGCTCAGTGATGACCTCAAAGAGAGCTTAAAGAGTGAAGAGAAGAAGAAAGGAAAGAGCTCCAAGAGGGAAGAATCTAAAGAATTAATCCAGTCACAAGATATGGAAGAGAAGTTGGACTCTGGTGAACCATCACATTCAGTAAAAGTGCATACAGTTCCTCAGCCAGGTATTGAAAGTTTTTTATCAGGCCATATTCAAGTCGTATTAAATAATTTTCTTTGTGCTTGAGACATTGTAATCCCTGGGCGCTCTCATGAGCTAAAAAAGTGAATTACTCAATGAAATCTGTAAAATAGATCCCTGTTTTATATACCTTATTATTACCTGGATTTAGGTGAACAAATTGTTTATAAAACCTGAAATAATAGGCTTATTATCCCCTAACACAGACATTTTAAAAGAGTTCCATTTCTTTTTACTACCTTAAGGTCTTAGAGGTTTGAGAATAAAATTTTTGTCAGTGAGAGGGTATGGTGCTAAGCATTTTTATTTTTAGTGTTAAATGAGACAAAGTAAGTTTTAGATATTATGTCTGAAATATAGACATTGTGAAATTTTTCACTTTATCATTAGATTTCTTTATGCAATCAAAATTAATTTTAGTTTGAAAACTTCCAGATTAAAAAGAAAAATTTCCGGGGAGTTTTTTGGTGGGCCTAGTGGTTAGGATTCCAGGCTTTCATTGCCGTGGCCCAGGTTCAGTCCCTGGTTGGGGAACTGAGATTCTGCAAGCTGCTCAGCCAAAAAAAAAAAAAAAAAAAAAAAAAAAAAAAAAACA